CTTTTTTAACAAAAAAGTGAGACCTATTTCTACAAAAAGTTAAAAAAAAAATTAGCCAGGTGTGGTGGCACATGCCTGTAGTCCTATCTAATCAGGAGGCTGCCACAAGAAGATTGAGCCCATAAGCTCAAGGCTGTGATGAACTATGATCACGCCACTGCACTCCAGCCTGGGTGGCAGAACAAGACCACATCTCACAAAAAATAAATAAATAAATAAATAAAAAAGAAAAATAGCAAACATGTCCTAATTATTTTGAGAGCACTGAATAAAAATATTACCCTTTTACCCTAATTAGACTTTGACTTTTAGTAGTGTCTGCTAGTGTCTTTGTCTCCAGAAGTCTTGCCAGAAAATCAGTATATGAAATTACAAACTTTAATTCAATTTCTAATCATAAACTTATTTGCAGAGCAAGAGCTCTACTTGGAAAATTCAACTGCTTAGCTCTCTCAGAAAAACTTACCTGCCTGAATACACTGTTATTCCTGTGCGAGTAGCATGTTATAATGTAGGGCAGGATGCTAGAAATGGGAAAATGTGAAGTTGTCCATCTAAGTGAGAGGGGAATCTTGAGATCAAGGAGAATATTAAATAACGTGAAATTAAATGATGTTGATTCCCCAACTGCCTAGGTAGTTTATCACATAGGTGTCCTTTTTCTTCAATTGATTCCATAACAGTATAAAATGTAACTTTTACATTACCTCAAAATTCTTCAAAACCACAACAGCCACAGTGACTGACTTCTTCAGTTAAAAAGCATTTAAAGGCTTCAAGAAGTGACATCCAAAGGTTTATTTTAACCATAAACGGGAAGACCTAGATCCAACAAGTCTATATGTACTTCCTCCTAAATTCTGTTCCTTGGTTGTATTTGACTGTAAGAGCATCAGCCCATTATTTAATATTCTAGTTAGTAATATGAATTTGGCCCAGTGTGTTCTCTACAGAATACACACACCAATACTTGTCATTTTAGAAAGTAGACCCTGCAACTAGTACATCTTTCTCTAATTTCAAATAAAAAACTCACATTTGAATTTGCCTGTGCCTATTCTACCATAATAATAATAAGTGGGGTTGATTTTTATGGGCCAGTTTGTCAGAATGCCTTTTGAGACAAGATCTCAAAGATCTTCACGGGTCTTCCCGTGAAGCCCCAGAAATTGGCTAAGTATTGGCTAAGTATAAGCTATGTAACAGAGACACAAGACCCTGAGGACAAAAAGATCAAGAGAATCTGAACCACTGATTTTTTAATTTTAAAGTTGACTGTTAAAATGCTTTAAATGATAACTGTGAAAATAAGTACCCTACATTTTGCTAGTGGGCCAATGTAATCACAAGAAATTTAGAAACACAAATGCTAAAACAACAACAAAAAAGAATTCTTTATCAACAAGTAAATAATCTCAGATTAACATTTAATTAGGAAATAGCTATACGCAATTTAAAACTACCATAAAGTAATAATAGAAGTGGATAGCAATTTTACTTTTCATCTTTGTAACTATCTTTTCTAAAAAGGTAATTTTGGCAGTGAAAGAAATTCTCCTAGGTTTATCGCAGAAATTACACCAATATGTTAACAGATAAAATAATAAATACACCACAGGGAACAACTATGCTCATTATAAAGAAATGACAACTTAAATTGTATAAACCTATCTATAAGAAAAAATAAATATGGGAAGACAAAGGAACTCCGTATTCCTTACATTGCTTCTTATTAAAAATTTCCTTTTATAGTACTCTGTAGCTCCAACACACACCACCGCCACTACCAAATGCCAGGAAGAATAACTATTATGGGAGCTAGTCTTCCTAGCTTTTCTGTCATTAATTTTCTTTGCTATAAAGTTATCCAGATTTGCTCCACTGACAAATGCTCAGTAACTATCAATGATGGAAAAACTGAGAATGCATTATGTCGGAGACCCAAAAGCCCAGAGTCCGACAGGTCTCCTCATGAATCCCTGCAGAAGCTTTTTGACAGTATTTCTCCTGCAGTTCAATGATACGCGTCTGTATCTCACCTGCAAATGCAAGAGCTGCGACACCCAGTCCGACAGCTATCAAACTTCTCGCCTGTGGAGGAAAAAAATGATTTCCACTTAAGAAGTGTTACACACTGGGTTTTAAAAGTAAATCATTTCTAATAATGAGGATAATTATATTAAATACTACATTTTCTTCAAGCTCTACTGTGAAGAACAGAACTTAAAAAAAAGGCAGTGTCTGTGGGATTATATCTGCTGCTTGCTATATCAGCTAATTTTCAGTGAATTAAAATGATTCAGATTTTCATTTAATTTCCATATATTTGAATTCATTATAACCAAGAGTTTTTATATTACCTATCGCTAAAATTTTTCTTAGACTATTTTTAATAGTGGGTTTAATACATTTACCTCCTATAAAGACGAAAGGCACATATTTTTCTCCTCCATATTTTATCTTTGCAGTGCTTATATTTAAAAATTTAGTAAAAACCACAGATCAATGTTTAAGAAGAGGTCAATCCATTAGATCCAGTAAAGACTTCTAAAAAGCTAGAACAATCTCCCTAGGGATCCGTATGGATACATTTCACACTGCTGCAGACACTGTAAGGTGGAGGCTGAGAGACTCACGGGATGAAAAAACCAAAAAGCCCTTTAGTCATCCACCTTCATGTGCTGTAAGGAAATACATAACAAGTCTTAGGAAATCAAAGCCCCAAACCTTCAACAGATGACTCTATAATGAGAAACATCAGACCAGCAAGGGACTTTAATAACACTGTGAGAAATCTAGAGCTTTTCATAGATAAGAGGAAGGAAATTCCTCTAGCCTTTTCCCCTCTGTGTAGCTCCAAGGCACTTTTTCACCAGGCTATGACACTAGAACCATTTCAGTAAAGGAAGATACATTCTTGGTACAAGAGAAAAAGCCTAGAGCTACCTACCCGGAAAGGCAAACAGTTTGCAAGGTTCCTTTTGGGTTACCTAACTTTAATTATTCCTGAATAGAAGGAGGTAAGGACTGATTTAATGAAAACACTCTGTTGAGGTTTATTTTTGGCATTGTCTAGAGCTTCTCTGGTGTCACATATTTTGAGCTTTCCCTCCAATCCAAACTACTCAACTGTTCCATGTATGAATTATATTTTCTTCCCTTATAACTTTGTTAATTCTTTCATCTGACTACAATGTTGCCTACCCAAATCCCACCTATTTTGAATACCCCAGTTTGAATCCTCCACAGAATGGCAGAAGTCATGTACAACACACAGCACAGGGCACATATCCAAATACACATGTAGGATTCCTCCAAATTAATACACATTAAAAGACAATCCAATAGAAAAATGGGCAAAGGACTAGGTCAGAGACTTCACACACACACACAATGATTAATAAATACATGACAAGGTGGTCAACTTCAAGAGTAATTAGAGAATACTAACAACGATAAGAAAGTGTGGAAATATTACCAACAGAATATAAAGATTTGTGGCCTTTGTGACTTTATTTTGCCCACTGATGTATCTCAAGAGCCTAATAACAGTATCTATACCTCCTAGGGTAATTATGAGAATAAAATATAAGAACATATGTAAAGAACTTAGTTAGCATAGTAGCGTGGCACATGTTAAACAATCAGGAAACGTGAACTGCTTTTGATATTATAGATATAAATAACTAGCTATTCATGACTATAACCAGTATAACAGAAGCACGAACAAAGTTCTGTAACTCTTAAATTTCTCTTAACAAGAGAAGATTCAGAGAAGTGGTTTTTGAAGTAACTCCTAGAAAATGAATTGGTCTAGGATGAAAAACACCAATTTTTCACATTTTATTTTATTTTTTCAGACAGAGCCTCAAGCTGTCACCCTAGGTAGAGTGCCATGGTATCCACAGCTCATAGCAACCTTCAACTTCTGGGCTCAAGCAAGTCTCCTGCCTCTACCTCCCAAGTAGCTAGCTGGGACTACAGGCGTCCGCCACAACACCTGGCTAGTTTTTGGTTGCAGGTGTCATTCTTTTTTTTTTTTTAGACAGAGCCTCAAGCTGTCCCTCTGGGTAGAGTGCTGTGGCATCACAGCCCACAGCAACCTCCAACTCCTGGGCTCAAGCAAGTCTCCTGCCTCAGCCTCCCAAGTAGCTAGGACCACAGGTGCCCGCCACAACACCTGGCTATTTTTTGGTTGCAGCTGTCATTGTTGTTTTGGCAGGCCTGGGCTGGATTTGAACCTGCCACCTTAGGTGTATGTGGCTGGCGCCTTAGCTGCTTGAGCCACAGGTGCCGAGTAGGTTTTTCCCATTTTAAAAAATGCATAGTTAAAAAAATTGAGTTATTCTAATTTTAAATTTTTATAGATTAATAACAATTTTATCATTTTTTACTATTTTAACTACTCAAAATATATGAGACAAATACAGTATTTGCCTCTACAATTCTAAAGTGATTTGTATTTAAAGGACTAAAGGCATATATAAGAACATTAAACCATTAGGCATTTGTTCATTTTTCACTTTATTCTAACAATATATAAGGCTATGTTTAACAGTAAGAGTTTGATTCAATTCAGTAAATAAGCATTAAGCACGCTGCTGATTATTCTCCACTTGTCCCCCTAGATTCATCCTCTACTCCGTCTGCCTTGTTCTGTACAGAAGCCAGACTCACCTCCCCTCTGGCTTCTGGTTGGATTTTTATCAGTGAGAGGAAGCAGCGACAGAAAAACGAAGGGTAGAAGGAGAAATGATGCACCACTTATTCCCCGTTTCTTCCCTGCCCCTGCCTTGTTTCCATGTTGGCCCCAGGGGTGGCTCCTGTTCCAGGCCTACAGCTCTCACTGAATTCAGAAATACAATTCCTATCCTCGCCCCTTAACCTAGGTAGACAGCAGTTTCCAACAACTACTAATTCCAAGGTGATCCATCATCATTTTTTGGTTACCTTAAACCATGCCCACACCTGCAAATAGTCCCTTTGTTAAACTGTCTTCAAGAGAAACCATCTGTCTATTACTACTACCAATTCCTTCTCTGTGAAAGTTGCTACTTGACAGTCACTATACTACATGTAAGAGATTTAGCATGGCACAAGGCAAACTTGGCCCTAGGACTTCTATCATATAGATCCTATGTAGGACCTTGAACATGGTAGGTGGTCTCCAATGTTTACTCTAGAATAATATACCAGAGATCATTTTTTTAACCCTTATTATAACACTTACTGTACTAAACTATAGTTGGATGTGTTCTATCTCCTTTAGCTTTTCAAAGTAATCAAGAGTCCCTTAAAAATCCAGTGAATCTATGGACCACCTCCCCAGAAAACCATAAATATATGTATAATATATATGTGTGTGTGTGTGTGTGTATATATATATATATATATATATACCACAAATTTTTAGATATACTATTTTGAAAGGATTCTTTGGTTTTCCTGAAGTCCTTCAGTTCACAACATACGAACACCTACTTTAAAAAAAAATTACTGAGCTCACTGAAGTCAAGGAGGATTTCTTATTCCTCTTTAAGCTGCTAGAACACATCAGAAGATGTGCCATATATACTTTACATTCATTCAACAATAAAACAAATGTTGAATAATTTAAAAAATAATCTCTATGTTTCAGGCTAACTTGTTTAAAAGAAAAACACAAAACACCTTGCAATCTTTAAAAAGAGAGTAAGATACTAAACAGGAATCTGAAGAGAAAACAACAATAAGAAACATCCAAACTAGGTAGAACACTGGATGTTCAATAAATAAATGACCCAAACTATGCAATCAAATCTTCCTTATCTACACTACCACAAAGTATAGCATAGCTTATCAAAAATCCTTTCCTTTATTGGAATTAACATTCCTTTTTGAAAGGAGGTGATATCTGAATTATTTCTAACTGTAATTTAATTCATTTGATACTAAAACAATACTTTTTGAGCATAAACATTTTATAGGCTGGGCACAGTGGCCTAAGCTTGTAATCCCAGCACTTGGGGAGGCTGAGGCAGGAGGATCACTTGAGCCCACAAGTTCAAGACCAGCCTGGGCAACAGAGTAAGATACTACCTCTACAAAACAAACAAACAAAAAATTAGCTGGCTGCAGTGGTACCACTCAGCTACTAAGGAGGCAGAAGCAGGAGGATTGCTAGAGCCTAGGAATTCCAGGTTATGGTGAGCTAAGATCATGTCACTGCATTCCAGTCTGAGGAACAGTGTAAGACTCTGTCTCTTAAGAAAAACTTAAATAAAAAAAAACAATTAAGTTATAGTCAACTTGTAATTTTTTTAGAAATCATATATCCCACATAATAAAATTCGTACTCTGAAATGAGAATAAAAGTCCTTTCTTTTTTTCCCACATCTGTTAGGTCTATAAACTGTTAACACTTTATTTGATCCAGAATAAGTATGATTTATTTTCTAGAAAAAAATATGTATCTACTATCTAACATTCCTTATTCACCTGAAAGCCATTGGTATTTCTTTTCAGACACAGATTTAGTGAGCTGTAAAATAATAACTCCCCCCAACCCTCCATATATCTGAACGACCCAAACAGGAAATAAAACCATCTAATTTCAGACACAGAATATAGAAGTATAAGAGGAGAGTCAATCTAAAGGCTGAGCAAGCAGCTCACACAGAATTCCTAATCATACCTTTATTTGACCTTAATTTTTGAAAATAAGATAACGCCTAAAACACACTAGGGTTTTTGAATAGCCCATGGTTCATTTGGCATAACTGAATAAATATCCAAAAATTCAACATGTTCTCTATTTCAATAGTGTGGAAAAATATTAAACATGTGCTTTATCACTGTGTTGTATTTCTAATGTATTTAAACTTCAGTACTATCCCCTTGAGCTAAGAGGATTTATTTTGTTTCTTTTATCAAAATATACAGTTGATCCAGCTATAAACATGAAAATGTACTTCAATTTTTTTTTTGAATGTTTTTAAAACAATGATACTTTAAAACTAAATTGCCAGTAACAGAATGAGAAAAATAACATTGAAAAGGCAATATAAAAGCAGAATGGTGAATCAGGCATGGTGTTGGGACCACAAGTATAGTCATTTCCTACCAATGAGGCAGTAA